GGAGCTTTAGTTCTGATAAACGCTCTTTTCCCTCAGATGGCTTCACTCTGGTCGCGTCTTTCTGGTTGTTTATTTATGCGCTTCATAAAAGATCCGATCCATCACTTAGTTCTGTTCTCAGATCATCTCAGGTCAGAAGCAGGTTGACATGAGCTAGTCACAACTAAACAGACTAAAAAAAAAGAAAAAGTGTTCTCACCTGTTGGAGAGGTGGGAGAAGAAGTGGACATCCTCCCTTCTTTTATTTTTTCCTTCCTCCGTGAGTGGGTGAGGTGGCACGCAGGCAGAGCGGTCGGTTCGGCCCGGTGGCCCTCTCTGGTTGAGCAGAAGGTAGAAGGAAGCAGCGCTGCTGGACTCCACCGTGTTCCTGTCTGGCTGCCTGGCTGCCTGCGCTCCAGTTTGAATTACATGTTTGGGGCTGACTTTAACCTGCGAGGCGCACGAAGCGCAGAGAGCGGCTGGAATCAAAGAGATTTTCCATGGATGAATATTTTATAGTGACTCTGTAACACAAGCTGCGAGCAGCGCAGAGGGTCAGCAGCAGATTTGTCTTTAGACGCGTTACAGTGGAGCCACAGATTGCTGGCAGCCTCTGGTCACCTCCACGTTCATGCTCAGAGCTCTGAAGGTGTCCAGGAGGAGGCAGGTTCACAAGATGAGCTGCTGGTTTCTCCTGGTTTCCAGCTGAGACACTGGTGCGTCATGGGTAGACCTCCTGAGCTCTATGAGTCCTCCTCAAACCATGTGGCATCCATGGCCTCCCCCACCTCCTCCACCTCCCCCCCTCTCTCTCTGTCTTGTTGATAAGGATCCAGACTCCACATCCCCCACCCATGAAGGAGATCCTCTCTCTCTCCTTGCAGGCCTTCTGTTAGTCAACCAGAAGCTTCTCCACCTGCACCTTCTGCACCTTCAGCACACCATCAGGGACCTTCTCTGTCAGTAGGACCCAAACTTCTGCTGCTGGTCTCACATCTGCTCTGCACTCAGTCCGTCTGGGTGAAACCTCAGCGAGCAGCAACAAGGGAGCTGGTCCCAGATCAGTGATTAGGACCTGATTAGAGCAAAGAAGTGGGGATGAGAGAGGAATAAATAGCGCCACCTATCGGTTCAGGAAGGACACGGTCACTGCTCTGTATGTGATAGATAGATAGATAGATAGATAGATAGATAGATAGATAGATAGATAGATAGATAGATAGATAGATAGATAGATATATAGATAGGTAGATGGGTCCTGTTTAGTTTCCAGTCAGCAGCTTTTGTTTTTCTGAGGGGAACATTAAGTTGCTAAACAGAAGCTAAACTGTTTATTTCCAGTGATGCCATAAAACCAGATTTTTTAAAGGAATCTTTGAGCAACAGGGTTCCTTAAAGGACCATCTGTGATTACAGTTGTTTAAAAAAGAGGCTCCAGAGAGCCACGAGGAAATTGTTCCTTAAAGTTCTTTGCAGCAGTATTTATGGGTATAAATACTGCTGCAAAGAACTTTAGCCAAAAATAAGTTATTTAAATGTTTAAGACAGTTCTCTGTGGATGCAAAAGAATAAATATATATATATATACATTTATTAAATGGTTCTTTAAGCATTTTAAATCACATTATTCTGTGTAGGTTGAAAAACAAGCATGTTGTTGGCTGTTTGTTAACTTTTCTTTTTACTTCATTCAATCACAGACAAGTCAGGAATAAAAACATATAATCTACTGGAGAGCACAGAGTGTTGTGGACTTACTGTCTGAACACCAGATGGGTCTCTATCAGGGTGAACACGGAGCCCTAAAACCTGAAACTAACTGAAGGATCCAAACTAGAAATCCAGAAAACACTGAACACACGAGACATGTTGGTTTTAAGAACAATCTGCAGCATTTCGTTGTCGTACGTCTGATATTTGGGGGTCAGGATGAACAACAAGATGCCAGTTTGGGATTTAAGGAATTGTAATGAGCAGTTTTATTTATTTTTAATTGTTTTCTGGTGATTTAATCAAATGACTGAGAAACTAATCCACAGATGAATCCACAATGAAGTTCTAATTTCTTGCTAATGAGCTGCAACCAAATAGCTTCAATAAATAGATAAACAACAACAACAACAACAACAAGGAGTCCAGAACCACTACCTGGTGTTCAGGAGAAGCAGGCAGCATTTTGAAAAACTTTACTTTCACTTTTATTTGAGAAAACTTCTTACTTTTAGTTTTGTTACCATGAAAGATTTTTTTTAATTTACTTTAAGCAACAATTACAGCAAGAATGAAGCCAAAGGACTCAGCTGCTTCCTTCTGTCACTCCTTTTAATTTCACTTTAATTTTCACTAAACATCCTTAAACCTTGTCATAAGTTAAATATATATTCATGTTTATCTTCTGGTGGCGACCTGCTGATGTTCTGACTGTTAAACCGGCAGCACAGAGGCCCAGTGGGGACTTATTATGACATTATTTAACTGTTATACTCCTCCGCCGAGCGATATAGTCCCTGAGCGGTAGCTGAGCGCCGATTTCCGGTCGGCGCATTAATATCCCCCCAGGTGCGCGCTCATTGGATGTTTTATAACGGCTTCAAACTGTGCCAGCCAATCGGGAGCGAGGAGCCGTTCCGCCAGTTTCACGGACAGCAAATTGACAAGATTATTGCTGCACGTGATTGTCGTTTCCTCTTTGACAAACCGCGTCACGTTCCAACAATGAAAATATTATAATTTCCTCCGCGCGTGAGCTAATCTCGTCGGTTCCGCCGCTCGCGCCGCGGCAGCGCGGACACCGTCAGACGGCGGAGTTTGGATCTGGTGTCCGCTCAGCCTCCAGCAGGCCGTCCTCCTCTGCAGCTCCTCCGGGCTGCCAGGCGCCATCTGGCGGCTCCACGGCCGGCTCTGCGCGTGCGCGCGTACGTGCACGCACAGATGAGGCCACAAACATACACACACGTGTTTTCTAGCTGTTTTTTTTTTTTTTTTTTTTTTTAATTCTTGCTGCTGCTGATTGTGACACCCGGTGGTGCGTTCAGGTGACACAGTGTTTCTGTGAACTTGTGGAACATTTTCCTCAAATATTATTTTATTATAACAAATCTGATCTGAGATCAGTTTCTGGAGGGAAACCCTGGTTCAAAAAAAATCAGTTTTTACTGAAAAGGGATTTTTTTTTTTTTTTGAAAACCTGCAAAGATGTCAGTTTTTACAGACAGCTGGTTTTATTTCTTTTTTCTGTGTGTGTGTGTTTGTGGCTGTTATTCAGTCCATGTAGGCCCTTTATAACCCTGTTATTTGTTGATAAGTTTTTCTTTTTTAATCTTCTCTCTTGCTGGAGTTGATGAAGATAAAAGCCAAAGCAGAGCCGGAAAGTTAAAGCTGACAGTTTAGTTTTTTTTAGGTTCAATGTGTTAAAATGTTTTGTGCCAGAAATAAATTTTAAATCAGTGAAATACGTCCACATGTGGGTTATACATGATTAGATTGTAATCCTGGCTTCAGTTTTCAAGACTTTGACTCAGTTGTTGTTTTGTTTTTAATGCATTTTCTTTTTAATTTCTTACACATAAACCAAGAACACATCATTTCAGATTAACATAAAACAAGTTTCTCTGTTGCTGCCGAGTGTTTTGTATAATATAGATTTATTTTAATTTTGTGGAAAATTCAAATTAGATTCTTGATGCTTTTATTAAAGTTTGATAAACTCTGCTTTCCTTGGTTTGAATGTTCTAGTTGACACAATTTTTTAACCTTTACTTTTAATCTTTATCAGGCTTTTGAAATAAGAACAATGGAATAAACAGTTTTTAGATGTTTCGGTGCTCAGATTTAAATTTCCCTGAAAACACACATCATGAACTTTTATAGAAGTGAAGTCAAAAGGCTTCTTCTTCTTGTGTAGCTGCAGAAGTTATTTTAAGTGTTTGCCTCGTTTGTTTCATTTACTTTTGTTTTAGTCAAATAGAAATGTTTTTTTAATTGTGCATGATTTCATTTAACAGTAAAGTTTGTATTGCAATGAAAGAACTTGAGCATTTGTATGTTAACAGTTAGAATTTATTTGTGTTTTGATAAGAGTTTAACCTGATCAGTCCACATAAATCAGTTTTAGTGAGTCAGGAGACGTGATTGTTTCGTAATAACTTTTCTTTTCCTGCTTCATGCTGTAGCTGCTCGCTGCTGTTCGGGCCTAACCGCCGGTTCTCAACGGGCCTGAACAGTTTGAAACTTTGGATTTTATGAAAACAACGTCTAAATCACAGCGAAGAAATAAGAACAAAAATATGAGTGTTGAATACCAAACATGTCGGAGCTGTTCAGTCATTTCTTTGCTGTTTTTTTTAAACTGTGTGTAAACTGGTTGGACTCAGAACCTTTTTAATGTTCTGTTCACACAATAAAAACAAAATAATGCATTTCAAAATAATTAAATCCAACATTCCTGACGATATCCGCCCAAAGCTCTGCCTTTTGTCTTTGTTTTATGGTGAATTTAATTCATGATCAGATGCAGAAACAGATGAAGTCAGACTGAGGATTTTAAAGAGGAGGCTTTGAGGAGTCGCCGTGACGCGCCGCCCAACGTTTTCCTTCGTAAACATGAAAGTGAAATATCAGAGGAGCTCCTGAACATGTAACATGTATGTTGAGTAATCCCGGTGGGGCCCTGTGTCAGACCACCCTCATGTTCTGCTGCTGCTGCTGCACGTGTTGGTCGCGTTCAGAGCGACTGCCCCCTGGTGGAAGACCGCTGTCATAGCGACGCCGCGGCCTTGTTCCTCTCAGTTCTCATTTTTGCCTGTTAACTACCAAATAAATGCTGAATAAAACTGATTGAAAACTCAAATTCTTGCCCATCTTTTTTCATATTTTATAGCTTTGAATTCCAGGTTGAAAGAAATAATCACATATTCCATCCATTTATCAGAAAAAGTGTTTTATTTACAACACTTTCATTTTTTTTTTTTTGCATTTCAGTTCGCGCAACTTCCTCCTCCAGGATGAAAAACAACAATGAATCACTGTTTAAAAAGTTGTTTATTGTAGTTGTGGCATTGTGTTTTGCTCCCTTTAAAAAGGTAAACAATCAGCACAAGTCAAGAGGTAGAAATCATCAGTCTGAAAGAAATGTTGGGACTGACACTGACACTCACACACACTCTCACACACATGCAGGCACACCATCCAAAGTGTTTCTTCCTTTTCCTTTTCTTTTCTTTTTTTTTGCAAGTTTCCGCGCTCTCGTCTGCAGCGACACAGCCAACCTGCGGTACCGTCGTAATACTGCCACATCGGATATCGTTCGACCTCCGACGGCCTCCGACGTGCGCACGGACGAGAAATAAATAATATGCATCATGTCGGAACACCCAGAGGACACAGGAACAATCTTCGAATAAACTGTGTTTTTTTTTTTTTGTTGCCACCTCATGACTTTAACGGCTGATTGGCAGATGACTGTAACAGCGAAGGCGGTCCCTCCCTCGACACAGAACTACAAACATGGCCGACGATGGATTAGCTGTGAGTGCTGCATGTTGGCTTATAGTCGCGAGGGTCTGCGAGACTCGCGCTGAGGGGCGGAGGGAGGGAGGGAGGGAGGGACGAACAAAGCACAAAGAAAAGACAAAAAAATGAAATTAAAAAACAAAGAGCTATAGTAGTGGTGGCTGGGTACAAGTGGGTTAAAACAGCCGGTGCTAAGTGCTGCTGCTGTGAAGACAACAGCTGGAACAAACCGTATTCTAAAGAGTAGTTGAGCAAAAACAAAAGGACGCCGGTTTGACGGGAGACGCCGGTTATTTGACCCAGGAGATGTTGAGACAGCGAGCGATGAAGGCGTAGGTGTCGGCCACCTCCTGGATGACCTTGCTGGTGGGCTTGCCGGCGCCGTGGCCCGACTTTGTGTCCACTAGGATGAAGAGGGGGTTGGCCTGCTTGCTGCTGCGGCCCACGATGTGCTGCAAGGTGGCGATGTATTTGAGCGAGTGGAGGGGCACCACGCGGTCGTCGTGGTCCCCCGTCAGCAGGAGCACCGCGGGGTACTGGACCCCGTTGCCCTCCGGGATGCGGATGTTGTGGAGCGGAGAGTATCTGAGGGGAGACGGGAGGGTGGGAACGAGGAATTTTTGGGCGTTCGTTAACTGGAAGATTCAATGAGTGACTTCAAATCCCTTCTGTTCAAAACCCCCCAAATATTCAGTTTACTGCCTGTGTGACAAATTAAAACAAACACGAACACAGAAAATGGTTCTAATTTTATGATGATCAGTTCATCAGTTAATTGTTTTTCTAGTAATCTCAGCTGCTGCTGAGCTGACTGCCCAGACTTTCTTTATTGTGCCTCATTATTCAAATATTTCATCAGAGTTATTTGTTCTGAACTTCTTCCCGGGCCGGTTCTCGGTTCAGTTCTTAGGTCACAGTTTAGTCATGACTGGTCTTTACAGTAGATAATGAGATCGAGCTGCGCTCCTGGAATTAGATGCGATGCGTAATTAAAGTCCCTTTCTGACATCCTGTCCCCGTCATCTGGTGCCATCTCAGCGTTTCGGTTTCGTGTCTGAACCAGCGGCCCGGCGGCTTTTCCCTGAAGTCGGTCTTACTAGAAGGAAGCTAGAAGGTCGCATGAGCAGCCAGACGGGCAAAAGCAGCGAAGCTCGAGTCGTGTGAAGCAACATGAGGAACGTTTTGTCTCCACATTTTAACTCCAATAAAACCCTGAAACCATCGGAGGAGGAGCAGAAGACTCCAGTCGCTGCCAAAACCAGAACTGACCTCCGTCCCTGACTTTACCCGACAACGTCACATCTGCTACAAACTGAAAAACCAAACTTTAGTGAGAAGGACCCAGACGGTGAGCTCAGTGAGCCTCATCAGTGATGAACGTATCCGGGTTTTAACAGGAGAGGAAGTTTGTTGCCTCCAGATGTTTGTAGGAGTCTGGAGGTGATGAAACATCTGCAGCATCAGACAGAAGCAGGACTGCTGGACTTCATTAATTACACAGAATTATAAAAGACGGAAACAGGAGCCGTCATTATTTAACCCTTTCGACACCATAGCCCGCTGTACCGGGCTGACATCACGCCTGCAGCCCGGTACAGCGGCTCCGGTACGGCGGCTCCGGTACAGCGGTTCCGGTACGGCGGCTCCAGTGTACGCCGGCTTTCTGTTCATTCTGACTGGCTACCAGCTGGAATCCCCGCATGTGAACAAGCGATTCAGTCACGAAATAAATTATGCAAATGAAGTAAAATGACGTCGTTCGACCCCATAAATCACCAGAAAACTGGATTTTCTCTGCCTCGTTTCTGAAATGTTTCGAAGCGATCAAAACCAACTAATCACAATATTATATATATTATATTATACTATATTATACTATATTATAACAAATCAATATTGAATTTCCCTTCTGGGATAAATAAAGTATTTTTCATCACAGACTTTGGCTGATGTCTCAGTAACAAGAACTGATAATTAATGGCATATATCCCTGGTAGTTATGAAGTTTACCTGTTCTTTTTCTCACCTGTAGGTATACGACAAGAGTAAACTTCCCGGTATATTTAACCGTCAGCTCGTCTACTGTTGATTGAAACCAGATGTGTGATGATGTGACGTCTACTGAAGAAGTGATGAATCAGAACCAGATCTGATCATGAAGCCAAAGTTACTGAGTGTTGAACGGGTTAAGAGCAAAGGCAGGTTTCCTTCTTGTCTGCTGTTTATTGCTCTTCCTCTTATTTGATTGTTCTAGTTTATTCCTTTGACAGACAGCTACGACTCACTGGAGTCAGATTCCTTGTTTGCTTGGTCGATAAAGTCGATTCTGGTTTTTACGTCACACAGGTGAGCTGTCACACGTGGGAGCGTTTCATCAGCTGCAGTTAAATCATTGGTTAGATGATGGACTAATATTAGGTCTTTGGTTTATTAGTGCATCATTATTATTATTCTGCCACTTGATGGACTGTCCAGTCTCACACGTATGACAAATATCACACGTGGGCCTTGTTAGTCTCTTCTAAGCAGTGAGGAATATTCCCTGAACGTGATCTGTTTAAACGACTGAACGCTGACATTTAGCAGACGGACGCAGCAGCGCTCACGTCTGATAATAATTAGAATCAGGGTCACAGCTGATCACAGCTATAAAGACTGACTTCAGCAAAGCGGCTGTAAACATTTTACCGTCTGTTTTAAATAACAAACTGATGCTACTGTCGGGGAGCACTCACTTGATGAGCCACTCAAACTGGTCCTTGTCTTCTGAGCAGCCGAAGTCTGTGGTCCAGGCGTGGCCGATGGTGAACTTGTGGAACTTCAGCATGTCCATGACGCCCACCTGAGCTACGGCACATCCAAACAGCTCGGGCCGCTGGTTCACGCAGGCCGCTGGGAGAGGAGACACAAAGTCAGGTCGTAGACTGGACCAAGGAGGTGTCAGAGGAGCTCCAGGACCAGCGTCACAAAAGATAGACTTCAAACCCAAACTACAAACTACCAGCACGTCTACAAAGAGATCCTGCAGCGTTTGCTTCGTCCAGAAGAGGCAGAGTTGTGTCAGGACCAGTGGAGGCTGCTTCACCATGACAACCTGCTCACAGCGCCCTGAGCATCCCACAGCTCCTGGCCGTGGGGTTGTTTCCTCTTCCCCAAGCTCAAGGGGGTCATCAAGGAGACCCGTTTAGAAGACGTGGACGACATCAAGATGGCTGTGAGGACGAAGATGAGAGGATCCTGGAGAATCCTTCCAGGAGTGCATGGCGGCTCCAGGGGTATTCTTGTAGTTTGTAGTTTGAAATCTATCTTTTGTGACACCGGTCCTGGACCTGTTCTGACGCGCCTCGTATGTGCTGTTCAAAGGTTAACTAGAGAACAACAGGCTTGAAGGAGCACACGTACCTACAAGCAGGCCGCCGTTGGAGCCTCCGTTTATAGTCAGCTTGGAGGGAGAAGTGTATCCCTCCTTGATGAGATATTCAGCTGCACACTGGAAGTCTGTGAAGCAGTTCTGCTTGTTTGCCAACATGCCAGCTTCAAGAGAAGAACACAAAGAAACACGTAAATGAGGGTTTTCTGCTGCTGTTATTGTAAAAATTCCTCCACGCATGTTTGAACAGACATAAAAATATTCTGCTCAGAATCATATCGTTGGTCTGATCTGGATTTTTTTCCCCATAAAAAGATTCAATTATCTGGGTAGAAACTCTGAAGAAGACTCGTGTGGCTTCTCTGTCGTTGAGAAATTCAGAATCCATCAATATGCAAATATTTTCCATTTTAACCACTGCGCTGTGTCCTACGACACCGAAGCAATGAGCAACGCCGGCTTCAGTGGTCCACATCGTACTTGTGTGAGCCGCCTATTGGACCAGAACTTTCATCCAAACTTGGTGCAATTTCACAAATCTAGCAGAGAAGCTTTCAGCAGAAGAATTTGAAAACAGTGTTTCAGTGTTAGCTCGTAATACAAGCACAGGTGGAAGTGAAGCTAGAAAACAGTGCAGGGGACTTTGAAGTGCTTTAAACAACCCAGACGTGCCTCTGTGACGCTTCACACCCACGTTTAGGTTTATCAGGGTGTATTTAAAGCCTCCCACCTTTGTGCCAGGTCTCCCCGTACTCTCCTCCTCCTCTGATGTTGGCGACGGCCAGAACTCCTCCCAGATGTCTGACAAAGATGAGGCGGGAGACGCTGTAGCTCGGCGTGATGGAGATGTTGAAGCCTCCGTAGCCGTACAGGAAACCCGGGTGGGAGCCGTCCAGCTTGATGCCCTTCTTGTGGACGATGAACATGGGTATCTGAGTGCCGTCCTTGGAGGTGTAGAAGATCTGCAGAGAAAGACGGACTGTCAGGAAGCAAAGGGGACCGAACCTGCATCGTGAACCGGTCGGGATCAATGAAGCTCACTGGTTCTAAGTCAGAGGAAACAGCAGGATGAACAAATCCTACCTCCAGAGCCGTGTGTAGTGTTACTGCTGGGGTCAATATGTCTGGAGTAGAAATAAAACTATACATCTGACTCGGACACACTGTACATCCAGAGGCAGTCATATGTTGTGCTGGTTTTGACCCACAGGCGAAAGAGAAAAATGGGCAACTATGACATCAACATCAATACCTATACCCGGCTCTCCATCAGCACCGGTCTCGTATAGGGACTAGTACTAAGACCTACAACACATCCAAACTGTCTCACTAACAGTCAAAACCAAAAGATATCGAGTTTACTCTCTTGGAAAACTCTGAAACCAGCAAATCCTCCCAGTAGAGGAGATGGTACCACTGACTTTAGAATGCTTAAACAACTATTTCCTACCAATCGACTAATCAATCAGCTATCAGGAGTGGAGCTGCATTATGAAACAGACGCGTATCGTCAGCAGGAGACCAACAACGTTTCTGCCTCAGGGCCCCACAGGAGGACAAGTTGGCCTTGACTTTGTCCTCTTCACCGGCGATCTGGTTCTTTCTTGATGCTGAAAGCTCGTGGGAAGACCAGCTCCCCTTTTTCAGCTGATGCAAGAGTCCGCACGGATTGGGCTGCAAAGTTTGACGCTTAGAAGTTTATGGAGGCTGCTGCGAACACTCGAGCAACTGAAACACAACGTTCTGCATAATGTATGCGGCGTATCTTGTTGCATCTCAGCCACGGAAACACAACTGAACTCTCACGTTAAAGCACATTTAGCTGCAGCAGGACTGTTGGAGAACACAGTGAGGCTTTTTGATGTGTTTCACCACCGTCCAGGCTGCTGGATGCTACCAGGACGCAGAGCTGGGGTCATTATTTAAAGGAAGCAAAGCCTCACACACTACTCTGGACTTTTTTTTTTTTTTTTAAACAATGTGTAACTTCATTTTTTTATTTCTCAATGTACTAAGTAGTTAGTTTGACTACTTGCTTGAGCTGCCAGTTAACATCATATATATTATATATTATGCTTAGGTCCACTTATCGGCACAAACCGAGTCGAGTCATGTCTGTATAGGGAAAAGGCACGCGGTACTATTTTAAGTTGGGCTTCTCCTAAACGATAACGAGACAGGCCACATGAAGCTTTGTTTACATCAATGCTAGCTAAGGTCAGCTCTGACATAGCGACACATGTCGCGGTACCGCTGGATGAGAGAGCTCCTGATGTGGCAGCAGAGCTCAAATCATGCACCCCGTCTATGTACGCGACCTGGCCTGGCAACGTACACACTTAATTCTTAGAATTAAAACACACACTTGCGGAACAAATGTGTAACTTCAATATAAACTAAATATATGAACAACACAGTTTCGAGCACCATGAGGTTCCTCTTCTACGGCTGGTTCAATCACACCATCTTTCCCACACTGGGTGCACTTAAAAGAAAAAAAAACACACACCTGTCCTCTTTCTGAAAATGACTGTAATGCCAGTGTTAAAGTATGAAAATGAACTGGTGTGGTCATTTAATATTAGAGATAAAATTGAAGGTGCAAGTATTGAATGTTTGTTTGAAGCTGCAGACAAGAGGATCACAGGCAGCCGTACACCTGCCTTAAAACTACGTTGAATCAGTGTTGAATAAAATGGTTAAGTTAAGTTTGGTATAGTCTCGGTCTCGACCCCTCAAAGTCTCGGTCTTATCTCAGTCTCGATACGCTGTGGTCTCGGCTTAGGTGGTCTCGACTACAACTCTAATTTTCTAACGAGGGGCCGATGAGAGGATCTTTCTTTAGGTTTCACCGGAAGCTGACGGCAAAGTTTGTGAAAACCAGTCCAAAGGGCATCTCACAGAAAAACGCTGAACCAAAAACAAGGTTCAGTTGCTTGTCTCAGAGAATCAAGGTGGTAGCAGGTCGTACTGCCTCAAACTAGAAGCAGTAACTGACCGCTAAGTGTAATAAGAACAGCGATGCATTACAGACTGCGTGATGTGTTTCTCTCAAGTGTCCGCAAAGGAAAAACAAAGTGAAATAAGCTGCAGGTCCTGGAGTGGCCTCCTGAGCTCGGTCTCTGTTTTTTACATAACACACTCGTTTAAATTTGATTAGGGCTTAAAGTTCTGCATAATTAAGAGCGTGGGTCAGCGCCGTCACAGGACAGTCTGTGGACCGCCTCGGCTCCACCTCGTTCCTCCATCTGTATGTACAGCCGGCGGTTAGATGGGACACGTTTCGGCTGTTCTTTCTCCTGACAGCTTAACTAAAACCTGCTATCTGTGGAGTCACTACTTTCAAAAGTGTGTTGAGGTTGGCCATTCATGGCACGACTAAACATACACATGAAGTGGTTCTGGAACTGTTTTTAACTCGATTAAGAAAAGAAGTCATGCAAACAGTGTGTAAAAACAAAATCAAACAACAAGCAGTATACGGTCGTTACCTGGGTGGTCTGGTAGTCGGAGGGGTTGAAGCCTTTGACGGTGACCTCTCTGAAAATGTGGGGCTGCAGCGGCTCCTTGGTGAGGTCACAATGGTAAATGATGGCTAGAAAGATGAAGGAAAGTCAACAGTTTATCTCATGTTCTAGCATTTCCAGATTTGTCTTGTGTTTTCCAACATATTTAACCTCCTATGTGCAACCCTGACATTATGAGGAAAAAAGGAAATCAGATCCTGAGAAGATGTAATTCAACCGTTTTAAATCACACATAGCACCGAAGGCTTTACTGGAGTTGTGATTAATTTAATGGTTTCATCCAGAAGGTTTTTCTTTCGTCTGTTGCCTCACACATCGTCCTTTATCTGCCTCATTCAGCAGTACTTAACGTCTTAACGCCTTAAAAACTAACAGTATTTTCTACAGTAACAAACAGCCACGAAGTTAAAATGAATCCAGCACGATGCAAACTGACGATTTAAACTCATCAACAACACGACATTTTAGCAGTTCAGTACCTGGGGATAAGAAAGAGGTGAAATAGTAGAAGATCTCCGAGTCTCGCTTTCGTCCCGTGAAGCCAACCACCGAGCCGACGTCGAGAGGAAATGTCCTCAGCTCCTCCCCCGAGCTCAGACGGTACATTTTCAACACATTCTTCACGTCGTGGAGGAAACACACGAATAGATAGCTGGAGTATGTACAGGTGGCAAACACTGCAACGAAGAGACCAGGCGGGAGGTTAGAGTTTGTACTGGTTCGATGCTAATATTTGAACAGCACGGGTCACAGGCAGGGATGCACGATACATCAGCGACCACATCGGTATGAACAAAAATTGAATATCGGTGATATCGGTTATCGGCGATATCAGAAGTCTTAATATCAGTATCGGCCAGAAGCGTTAATATCGTGTGTCACTAGTCACAGGAGTGCTGCAGTAACTCACCGATAACGTCTTTGTCGTGCTGAGGGATGAGCTCCTTCCATTTGCTCTGATCAGGAGCAGCGAAGTCGATGTTGATGAGTCTGTAACGTGGGGCGTCCAAGTTGGTCTTGAATGTAAACAACGTGCCCTCGTTGGTCACGTATTCGTATTCCGCGTCAAAGTTGTCGATTAGCTTCACCCACGGCAAAAGTCCTACACAAACAGGGATGAGCATGTCGGTTCTGAGAGTGCTGACCATGCAGAACGGGTCTCCATGCCCCTTCTTCATGGACGTATTTGGTGGTTACTCGTCTCAGCTTTAATTCCAGTACAAAAATATAAAGCACAGCTGTCCTTTTCCTTAAAGTCTCTAAACACTTGATAGGTAGTGCTAAATAATAATTACAAACAACTACAACATACCTGTAATACCCTGAGGAGTGGTCTGAAGGTCACAGTACCACAACCTGTTGACAGGATCACAACCTTCTCTGATGGACAGCAGCACGTAGCGTCCATCATCTGACACCTAAAGCACACATGCAACTGCTAAACTTTACCCGAATATGAATTAACAAATGCAGTCGGCTTAAGTTAAGTATTTTAGAGGGAAGCCATGAACACCTGAGGCATACCTCAGCACCACTCATCCATTTGGGATGGTCCGGAAACTCAGCGCACAGCACGTCCTCAGCCTGCGGAGTCCCCAAAACATGAAAGTATAGCTTCTGGTGCAGGTTGGTGGACGTCTCAGTGCCTGGCAGAGATCACATTTTAGTATTTGCATTGACTCAGAGGCTAAAAAGAAGGAGCAGGAAGGAATCCTCACGTCAGCTCAAGCAGGGTTCAGAACTTGAAAATGTCTCACCGTCACTTTTGCCCTCCTGATCAGGGTAGGAGTTGTAGAAAAGGCCCTTCCCATCGTGAGTCCAGGACATGCAGCTAAACTTGACTCGCTCCAGGTGGTCCTCCAGAGGCACGGCGCCTTCCACGCGCAGGAAGCGGATCTCCACCCAGTCGGACCCGCTGGCACTGGTGCCGTATGCCAGATACTCCCCGTCCTCAGAGAATGCATAGCCTTGGAGCAATCAGAGGAAGAGAACCAGAACATTAACAAAGAAATTAAGACTCTTTATTTAGCCGTTACTGTGGACGATATAAATAGCAGGTTATTTCTCATTTCTCATTATTTTACCCTCAGCAAAGGCACGACAACGACATTTATACTGTAAATAAAACTTCCCAAAAGCATCTATCTATGTATCTATGTTCATTACTAATAAAAGAGTGCAACAGCCAGCAAAATTAACCCAAAGAATGATTAAAGAGCAATAAAATCCAGCTGTAGTTTGCCTTCAGCCATCGTTGATACCTCGCAGGGCAACTGTCCCATCATCAGAAAACGTGTTTGGGTCCAAGAAGACTGTGGGTTCAGCGTCCAGGCTCTCCTGCACATACATCACACTCTGGTTCTGAAGGCCTGTGTTGTAGAAATGAAAGTACCTGCAAACAAGAGGAGAAACAAGGATCTCAACAGACGTGTGCTACTTCAGATGTGAAGTGGAACATTATCGAGCTGAACAACATGTTCCATCAGGACCGGCTGGGCTCGTCGTCACTACTATGGTGTCAGATTTAAAGGTTTTGCAACTCTATCTCAAAACTGAAGCTAATGTAGCGACACCATGAAAGTCTATAAAGATTCTGTTGCCTCACCTGCTTCCCCTCTTGAAGGGGCAGCTGTACTTGGGATAGTCGTACAGCTCAGTCATGCGCTCCTTGAACAGGTCTCGCACCTCACAGCACTCTAAAAAGGGCAACGTCAGCTGATTCTGAGCGCTGACAAAGGCCTGATGGGACAAAACACAAAACCAAGATGAAGACACGTCGGTGTATTATCATCTCTGTACCCAGTTCCAAGAAGCAGATGTACTGATTTATCTGTCTCTGCCCGGCAAAACCAAGTTCCAGTTTCACTCAGCAGCGTTATCCAGATTACTCAGTAGACCGGCTTTTCGGGAAAGGCTTTACACTGAGGGGTATGAATGCCATAACCTCGTGTACTTTATTTATCCCTGTAAGCATTAACTTTAACTTTAGCAATTTTATAAATAGAGTGACAATTGTGCAAATTACACATTTCCAAAAACAAGAGAAGTGGGACTCCGTCATTAGTACCGCTGAGCAACAAATCCGTAGAGCTGCACAACATTTCGTTTCAGCGTTGACATTGCAAAGTGTGAAGTAAATCAAATTAACATCAATGACATTACTGACACAAAAAGAAAGCACGCACATTTCTAATTTATCCGTGACTAATCTACAGGAGAAGTCTGCCTGAAAGAACATATTTTACTCCAAATTTAAGGGTTCCTGGATGCACAAAGTCTTTTTTTTTTATTACCAGACTTAGTGATTGTTGATATTCAGGCACATTAACAAATAAAAAGCAGAACGAGCGAGGAAAGAATCACTAACAGGGAATTAATACACAACATCAGTTCTATGGAAATATTTCAAACACAGACAGCATGACCAAAAACAGGTCGTCTGTCTGTCTGCAGTGTTCTGCACGAAGCATCGTAAATATTTGCTTGACCATTTAAATCAGCACCACAGGGCTCTGTACGATGTGTGCAAAGCCATCCGAGGAGAAGCAAAGCTCTCTGGCAGTGTCACCTCCATGCATCATCATCTGAATCCGTCTGAGATGATGAATTCTGTCCATACATAGAAATACAGGAACATGTTTGTATTTTCTCACACTGCAAATACCACTTTTTGTCTCCCCTCCAGCCCTGTACCCACCTGTGTCTTTTCACTGTCAGGGTCCTCCAGCCAGCTGTATGGATCCGGTACTTTGTGGCCATGATAGTCGTCCAGCTGAGAGAGAGGACAAACAGTGATGACAGCTATCAAAGTCTGCCCTAGCTAGGTGTGGCAAAAAAAACAACAAACCAGACCTGAGCTACCAAGCTAGCAAGTCCAGGGCGGCTAGCGCAGCTAAGCACACAACAGCACAACAACTGCTAGCTTGTGAGCCTAAAATAAGAAATGTATATCACAGCTACTTCTGCAACGTGTACTTGTCAACATGGGGAGTGTGGGCTGGCTAAGCTAACTAGCACGCTAACAAAGCAAACAGCTCGTTTCCAATGAATGAAAACGCATGATGATTAAGCATCCCGGCTTATTAGCACGCTAGGCTAGTTAGCTAGCCGGATTTACTTACAACTGCCTCGTCGCGGAAAGCTTGCGGATACTGAAAGGACATTTTGGAGGTCAGTTTTCTGGAATTGCGTAACAAAAAAAGCTGAGTCAGGGAGCGAAGCAGAGGTTTGGATATGACTCCGCGGAGCCTGTAAAACATCAAGTTAAAGCGCTGCAGCTTCAGTCAGAACAGACGCCTGCTGCTTACAGTCAACGAGCACCGACAGGAGCGTCCCCGCGGCCGCTGTGTGGACAGCGCAGACTAAACATCCCCCCCTGCTGGCAGGAAGCGGTAACACAGCTCCCATTAAAACTGACAAGATAAGACAGAGAGACGTATTAATTAAACCAGACAGTTAAGAAGTTAAGTTTAATTGACACAGTTAAAGTTTTAATGTGGACAACTTATGTAGTCTGTGATGTGCGATGAAGCAAATAAATGAGGAGTGCTCTATATACAGAACTGCTGTAAAGAAGCTGTACAGTTACCACAGACTTAATTTGTTCATAAGGAAGTTGATATACAATTGAAATAGTCTGTGACTAATTAACCTTCTGTTTTACACGCTGTTGCTGCACATGGTACAATTCACAATATGTTTTATTGGCATGAATATCAGGGTTAGGAATATTGCCAGAACATTGAGGTTGATGCAATTAAAAATAATGAGTCTTTTATCAATGAGATATTGGGGACCAATCAGAGCAGGAGAAATGATCCGTCATGAACCAGTTAGAGTAGAGATACAGGACACATCATGGACCAGTCAGAGAGGGTTACAGGTGATACTACAGTCACATGAAGAGGATGTGCTTCAAAAACTAAAGTGATCTATTTAACGAACTGTACAACAACAATAATAATTATTATTGTAATTATTTTCACACTCAGTAAAATGTTCTGATTCCACTCACACGCCTTCATCTTCTGATATAAGTTCTAAAAATAAATCAATAAGTAAAAGAGAAGAAATGTCTACAACAGTTTATTGAGTGCAATAAAAAAAAGAATGAAAAAAAGATGAAAAACAGGAAATATATTTGTGCTTTAGCTTTTAAGGCAAAATGAAGGATAGGATTGGAATTAATGTCCTTTTTTTTTTTTTTTTTTTAAAGACTGCACCAACTAATTTGAAATTATTTAAGGGAACTGAAGGATAAAGCCAATTATTTAATCATCTGCTTCACCACAAAGCTGGTATCCACAACTAAACCTCTTAATGACACATTTGTTCTTGCACTTTACCCTTTTTTATTTGTTCTACTTTCAAATTAAAAACTCTTATAAAGCTGGGGTGCTCAATAGTTTAAAACTTTATAGTAGTTTTTACCTCTTAAAAGGGCAAAACAAGCCGAAACTAATTTAGAAAGTAATGCATGTACGGCAAAATCAACTACAGGTCTATTTTATAACTAATAAAATGTTATCCAGTATAAATAGTAGTCGTACAGTAAATAGTGACGCAGCATCTCTGGTTAAAGGTCACCTGAGTCCACAGCGACTCTCCATCACTGCTCTTATCTCTCTGACAGCGAGGGGAGAGGTCAGCTCTTCTCTACGCTTTCTTTGTGCTCGTCATCGTCCACTTCCTCCTTTCTTTCCACCGTTTACTTAATCAATCAGAGCTGATTTAACCATCATCATCTCTGACACCTACTCTTACGCAGCGACTGATAAGGCTCACCGAGGTTCGCTCTTAAGAAATGAATAACCACAGCAGTTTGCATCAGCATGTTGAGTTACGAAAACTTCAAATCACATTAAGTTCAACCAGCAGATTACACTGAGTGAGAGGAATGAGGTTTTCCTCTGTCAAGGTTTTCTTATTTATGACTTATTTAATGATTGCTAGTATAAACACATGCTTTTAAGTTGATTTCTCGTAAAAAAAAAAGGTTCTTCAAACTCGTATTTCCACGTCATTTAATCACAGTTTTAAGTGTTATGAACTTAATTGATCGTCTTTTCTTAAAATCCTGACCTCAAGGTGATAAAAAACGTAGCTATTAATCCAATTTCTTTAAGTTGACTCAACTCGAATTTGACCCTAATTCAAGGAATAAAGAAATATGAGTTTATTTTACACACAATATTTAGTTGATGCAATTACCAACATAGTTATGTCAGCCCAACCCATCAAATCAATGTTTTCAACCCTAAAAGGTTTTTCTAAATTAATATTTTAGACTAAAAACAAGAATAAAATCTTGTAGAGCTGGAAATAAGTCACTTGAATGACTTTTCACGGCTGTGAGGACGTGTTGGTCTAAATCATTCATTTTAAGTTTCTTCAGAAATGGATGTTTGTGAGTTTCATGTTTGATTTTGTCAGCATTTATTTATGAATGCATATTTAAACGGAGGCATATCCAGCAGTATTCTGTATTAATGGATATTTATTGAGTGGTTTTGTTCAGAGGAAATCTGGCTGCTTGTTGCAAGAGCTGTAATTTTCTGGTATGATGCCACGTTTTGACCACAAGTCATTCAACAGCTATGCAGATAAGAGCCTTGCGACAGGTTTAATTACACGGGAGTGTTTCCTCCGCCGTGAAAGGAAGCGCATTGTTTGGATACCTGCTGCTGATCAGACAGTCAGATGTCTTCCAGGAGATTCCACAGTCTTGTTACTTTCAGATTTGACTTGAAGGGTGTCAGAGCTGTCAGAGCCAGACGCAACGCAGAGGAAAGAGATGCAGAGATTCTTGAGCAGTGACGTCCTCTCACGGGTGAAGGCACAGTGAAAGTGGAGAGAGAGAGAGACAAGCTGAGAGTACAGGTGGAGGGAGACAACAAAGTGGTTTTTCTCTATTTAAAATACAGTCGATGTGTCACAGATTGCTGATCTTTACGCCATCCTCTGCTCAGACATGGTGGGTTGTAGGTGGATGTTTTTGTGTCAGAGGGTGGTCTCCGCCGCCTCCCCCCTTCTGCTCCTTCCCGTCCTTAAGCTGGAGTCAGGAATACCCTTCTATGCAAAGGGGATCTCTTCCTGTTTGCCTGTGTCACACTCAGACATGGGTCAGAGTGCTATTGTCCTGTGACGCCTCTGTTTCCCGAACAAACCGAGGAGAGAAAAACACCCACAGTTTGAATGAGTGTGTTTGTGTTTGCATTGCAATATGGACTTTATAAGCCCGTGGAGCGGCCGGGTTCATGCACTTCTATATTTGACACAAAGCTGGGCTGGGCTGGAGGTGTCCATGCATGAATTACGCCTCCTTTCCCCCCTTGTTTTCCTCCATTGTCCGGAGCCGGCCGTGATCTGGCCCCCGTAGTCGGAAGCACCTGTCTCTGCTGCGGCAGACAAAGAAGGATGACCACCTGTTGTGTTTCGCCGCTCAGGGTTACCGCGAGGTTATCTCGTCCAAAGATCTCCATGGCTACGTTCTGAGTGGTTCCTGTGAAGCCGTGCCTTTAAGTTTGTACAGTTCCGCATCTGATTAAACAGTAAAACCAAACAGAAGCTGTTGAAAATGCACATCAATAGAGACGAGTACGCAAACCCTACCGTCACGTGACCGGATTGACCGGTTTAACGGGACGAGCTGATACGAGCCGCTGATTAATGAACGACCTCTTTCGTTTCCACAGAAATTGTTCCTTGTAAAACGGCACGTTCATGTTCTCTGTGACCTCATAGCTGGAGGAGAAACGCTGATAATGCGCCAGCTAGCTGATAGTCATCTGTACCTCGGTGATATTTTCATTTTTGGTTGCACGATTCTCACTCACAGTGGATTCTCGTACACGACTGAGCAACAAGTAATGGAGGCAAGCAGCACTTTGACTTGTTAATGTTATTTTTTCTCTTTATCCTTTTAAATGTAAGCCTGCTTTAAATGTAGAAGTTATGTTATGTGTCATTCAAGCAGCAAATCCAGTGTTAAAAGTGAAGCCAACACAGAATCACTAAAAGCCGCAGTTCCTCAAATGGCCACTTGAGGCGGATTCTAAAAGAGCGTTGACCCCCATAGACTCCCATGTTAAAATGTCCAACTTTACAGCAGAGATAAACATGTTTACAGCCTGGTACACAAAGCAGTTTGGGTCTCTGTAGCTACTTTTACCTTTCATGACAACTTTACAGGTTGCAAATTTTTAAATAACTTATTTAGATTATATTAAAGCCTAAAGTTTGAGTTCGAGTAACACATAGTTGCTGCTGATGTTTGCATGGCCCACCTCAGCTCCAATCATGTTGCTCCTGTTTTGTTGTTTTTGGATGAGCTTGGCAGAGTCCGACGCTGCCAACATGGCTACCAAAATGTCATAACATCACAGAGAGTTTGTCCATCTTAGTTTACAGTCCGTGGGATCATTTAGCAAATATTTTCTCGTATGGCACACTGCCGTCACTTCTGTCTACTTTATCTATATAGTACAGGTCCATGGAGGGTAGTGGGTTCTTGCAGACAACAACATCAGCCAGTTGGTCAGCCTCTTCATCACTTCAGACTTTAATGTTTCCACAGTTATCACATGGCTAGCTGTGACATGTTGTACAGACATGTGTTTTCCCCAGAGGATGAATCCTGATGGATGATGTTTGTGGTTTAAGTGGAACAATTGAACTGCTATGACGGACAGTATGTCCATCCATCCATCCATCCATCCATCCATCCATCCATCCATCCATCCATCCACCGGAGAACCTGGAGAGAACCCACGCTGCACGGGGAGAACATGGAGACTCCACGTAGAAAGATCCCGGGTGTCCTCACCGGGACATGAACCGGGATCTTCTAGCTGTGAGGCGACGGTGGACATAAACATCAGCAGTTAGATGGTATTTAGCTGAAAGCTCCACCTCCCCAATCAGTGGATCGTTTTTAAGGAGTGCTTCCTGATGCGAATGCCGTAAGGAGAGCTGGTGATATCTGCAGAACAGTGAAGAGTTCATATAAATGGGCTTTATTCATAAATCTGACTTTCTACACTGTTTTTGTTGATGGAACATTTCATCTTTGGGCAGAAACTAATAGTTGGTTTAGTTCACAGCAGCAGTGGGTCTGACTGGGCTGCTGCATTCAACAGAGGTGACACAAGCCGACCAGCTCATTGGACTTTAATGTGGCGGTTTCTTACAATCATCACAAAGGTTGTCATCACAAACAGGGGAAGTCCAGGTTCAGGTTTTGATATATTTCCCAAAGTCAGCTAAAATTGATCGTCACAGTCGAGTCGCGTTCAGCGTAATAATAGTA